AGCGATGCTGGTATTGAATTATCGGAAAAGTTAACAATTGATCAAACGTAATTAAATAGCAAACCTACCCAGGAATTCGTCTACTTCTCTTTTGATTTCTTCACCATCCTTTAGAGAAGGGGCGGAATCGAAGAAAGAGTTGATTTCTTCGAAATTTGCGGAACCATTTGATGCGTCCATCATATGAAATTGGTTACCTGTAAAAACCAAAACCCTGGAAATCGATGAACTCATGAATGAACAAATAGCTGAACGATAACTAAAAAAAAATATAAAAAAAAATTAAATCAATGTGGTGTATGGGTTATTTGATTTCCGATAACAAAAGCTAAAGCATATGAAAAAACTGTCACTTGAGATTTTCAACGAATTTGCAGAAGAAGAAAATTCATTCAGAAATTCCGTACAGAAATTAAACCCCAATCATCGCCGGAAAATTACAAAAAAAAGAAAAAAAAAAAAAGGATATTTTGAACCTTGTTTTATTCGATTCTTTGATCGGATATTCCCCAATCGGCAGAAAAATCCGTACAGAAATTCACATATTAATTGAAATCAAATGTTGAGAATTGGGAGTGAGGTTTTAGGAAAGAGAAGCATGAAGCAGAAGATTAGTGAACTGAACTGAACTGAACTGAATTGAATTGAGATTTATTATTATTATTATTATTATTTCATTATGCCACCTGGCACCCTATCCGATTTACTTACCCAAAACCGGTAAAATAAAAAAAAACCGGAGTCAGACGTCCCAAACCGGAAATACCAAAAAATAATAATAAAAAAAGGCAATGGCAAATACCTAAAAAATTGAAGATAATTGAAGTACCTTGAGGAAGAGTTGGGGTTTAGATTGTGGTTGTTGGTTTGCTACTCAAAAATTGTGTGATTCAAGACACTATAAATAAGTTTCTTAAGTTGGCATGACGTTTCTTGCTTTTTATAAAGATATTTAATTCAACTGTGACAATCGTTGTGTATTTAATTAATATTAGGGTAAATAGCCATTGACCTCTATGTGGTTTCACTATTTTGCACTTAACCCCTATGTGGTATCAATATAGGCGGATAACCCCCTTGTGGTTTATGATGAGTAGCTTTTGATAATTTCAGTAACCAAAAGAGGTAAATGTCTATTTTGCCCTTTTATTTATCTCATACTTGTATTGTTTAGGTTTACTTTACTTGATAATCAATTAGGGCTCACATTATTTTATTATATGAAAATAACATAATGAACAAAATTTCATGTGTGATTGCGGAGGATTATAACCAAGCAAAACCTAGATTTTTTAACTTTAATATACGTTTGTTTGTTGATTTTTTTTGTTATACATATTTTACTTTTTTTTTATTATTTATTATCATTGTTCATCTAAATGTCCCAAAGATTTATTGTATAAAGGCGAAATTTTCATTTTTATTTTTATCATTATATTCTGGCTGTAAAATAAAAAAAATTTGTTTCAAACTAATTTTAAAAATGAAAGAAAACAATAATTTCTAATTACTGAAAGCAAGCCTAATACTTGTGCGTGTGTTAACATATCTTAGTAATTTATGCATTTTTCTTATTTTACTAAATCACATATTTTTTAAATTGGCTTACTAAAGTTTGTTTAACTAGTAGTTTAAAGAAATTAGAAATGAGCATGGGTTTCATATAAGAAGGGCAACATAGGTATTTTTAGAAATTTATAGCTAGGAAAAACTCTACCACTTGCGAATTGGGCGAGTGAAATACACTCACTATTGAATATCTCAGGAAAACTACTCATCATAAACTACAAGGGGTTTATCCGCCTATATTAATACCACATGGGGGTTAAGTGAAAAATAGAGAAACTACATGGGGTCAAGTGCTAATTACCCTTAATATTATTAATTAACACAATAATATCAAAACATAGATAAATAGAAGAGTAAAAAGCAGTTTGCCCCCTAAACTATGACCCGTTTTGCGCTTTGCCCCCTAAACAATTTTTTTTTGCACGTTCTTACGTAAACTCGTTTTTTTGTTGCACGGTGCCCCCTAAACTAAAGTTTCCGGCAATTTCGATCGGAATATTAAAACACGCGCGTTGCACGTTATATTCTATATATTAATTGTGAATTAATCATTAAAAAACAAAAAAACAAAGCCAAAAATAAAACAAAAAAGAAAGTATCATCTTCATCCCGTCGGCCTAGCACTCCATTCCTGCTATTCTCTCTTTCCATCACCACCTGTTGTCTTGACGTTTTCCTTTACAGGTCCATGGCTGTGAGAAATAGGTCGAAATCTTTGGCCCAATTATTTCGGGGAGAATGCTTCTCCGATGAAGTAGACAATAATAAAAGTAAAAAGACAAATTTACCCCTCCAAATATCACGTGAATGGCACGTGCGTGAGATTCCGGTGACATTTGTCGGAAAATACCACTTTTAGGGCACCGTGCAACAAAAACCCGAGTTTAGGTAAGAACGTGCAAAAAAAAATTGTTTGGGGGGCAAAGCGCAAAATGGGTCATAGTTTAGGGGGCAAACTGATTTTTACTCTAAATAGAATTTCAAAATATTGCCAAATTGCAATGTTCCGGTAATTGACTTAAAAGTATATAGTAATTGTTAAAAGTCCCTGAAATATAATTTCAATCGCGTCGGTGAATATTACATGGTGTATCGTTAAACAATGCATGGTACTTCTCGGATCATAAGTAAGTTCATTTTCAATTTTAAGAGCTCACTATCACTTTTCAAAAGTTACCCAATTTTTCAGAAGTTCACTGTCAATTTTGACAAATTTTCAGAAAAGTTTACTTCCAAATTTTCACGAGTTCAATACCAATTTTTAGAAGTTCACTACATTATTATTAAAATACTCAAAAAGTTGATGAAAAATACTTCAACTAGGGGTGTGCGCGAGCCATAAATCCGCGGGTTCTATCAAAATCCGCTCTCGTCCCGTCAAACAACGGTTCTTGATTTTGAAGAACCAAACTTGTGGGTTTTTAACGGGTTTACGATAGGCGGGTCCATGGCGGGTTTGTAGTTGGACCCAACCTTTGCGGGTCGAAACCCGTTATCGTCTAAACTATTTTTGTTATATATAATTTATAAGTTTTACCGGAGAATAATTAGAAACTAAAATGAATAATCTAAAATTTTAAATTGAAACTAAACAGAAATAATGTAAATGTCAAGAGTAAATAAAAATTAATATTAAACTAAAAATAACTAATTCATAACTTCAAAGACGAAATTTAAATAAAATAAATATAGTTTTTTCAAGCATAACCCAAGCTATTCAGCACCATTCAACACCACTTTCTTCTTTTTTTTCCTGCCGTGTGTTGACCGTTTTATATATATGTTTTTTTTCCTACACTTTCTTAGAGATTTTCATAATCTTTATAGATATTACTTCCACAATTATAGTTTAGTTGATTTATGTATTTGATACACTAGAGATACTTTATTTATTCATTAATATTATTTATTTATTATACTATATAATGTAACCAAAACGACGTTGTTTTGTATGGCGGGGCGGGACGGGTTTCACGGGTATTAAAAAAAATTGAACCCGTCGAAGACCCAAACCCACGGTTCTTCAACATTTTAGGACCCAATCCTATGGATGGATCTATCCGTCCGGTCCCAACGGAGCGGTTTTTCACGGGTTTGACGGGTGTAGCGGGTTGATGGGTCCGACTTGCTCACCCCTAACTTCAACCAAGAAAAAGAAAAGATTCATTTTTTTTTTCTAGTTTCTTAAACACGTCAATATATTTCAACCAAAATAAAAATATATTTAACCAAAAAAATTGTTATTTTTCTCTCAGACCATTTTAATTTAGAATATCGAAATATAAGTTATGTGAGCTATTATGGCCTATGAATACTACATGCCATCTCTAATTTTAATAGAATGTGACTTTAGTAGCCGTAATTTCCATATCTAAGTTTATATTTAAGTAAACCTATGGATATATGATGCTTATTTATTGGCCTCTTAAAATTAAATTCCTCCTCCTAAATTATTTAGACGGTATTTTAAATAAGAGCTACAATAATTGCGATAGAATCATAAATATCTCTTAGGGGGTTTGCTTTTTTGGGTTTTATCTATCCTACACCCGGTGAAGGTTACACCGGGTGATTTTTTACCGTTGATCTACACACACCAATGTGGATGTGTGTGTGTTTGTGTGTATATTAATGGTAAAGATCTACCCGGTGTATTTCACCCGGTGTAGGATCTCAAAAGCTGTTTTTTTGGGCTTGCTTAAATATGTTATACTACTTGTCGGCGGACGATTTAAAAAGGATAAATTTCACTTTTCCCATTTGTACTTTGGCTAGATATAATTCAGCTCCTTCTGCTCTCAATTATATCGATTTGCTCCATTGTACGTTGGTTCGATGTTATTTTACCCCTTTCTACTTTTAATTGAATTGATTTGCTTGCCCCATTGTACTTTGGTTCGATAGCACTTTACCTCCTTCTACTCTCAATTGCATCGACTTGCCCCCTGTATTTGGAAAATTATCTCAATGGGGCCCTCGTCGTTAGTTTTCAGATCTTTGACCTTAACATCGTTCGATCTAAGTCTGAAAATACTAAAAAGTCACCCCTCAC